CTGTGGTGAGATAGTGTAAATATCAAACAGTGAATCGGCTGCCGAAAGGAATGATTGGAAATATCTTCCGACAGGAAATCATTACTCGTTCGGTTTTAACCTGTGTATTGGGCAAGATCCTATCAACAAATGTCGGAGAGCATGTCATGGAGAACTACAAGATTTCTAGCCCCGGTAAAAGCCTCAAAATATCTTATTGTCAAACTGCTTCTAACGTCTTCCACAAACACGAGCGACAATACTGCATAGGAAAGGTCAGTGACGGACAACCCCACATGGTCCAATCTGTCCAGACCACAACGCAACAAAGATTGCGAATGGGCCAATAGGATTAAAAGTATGCACCGATTAGCTAATCACATGAAAACTGTAAACGTGGATAGGTAAGGGACAAGTACTACCACTCAATTGTGCACTGACGGTGTTTTCACGACTGGAGGCGAAACATTTGCAAGCTCATTGCCAAGATCGGCGAACCAACCAAAAAACGCCCGAGCTACGAATTTTCGAACACACTGACCGGCAATTTATTTACCGACATGTAAAAGATGCGACGCTTCTTGTGGGTACACCAGCCACACAACCCACTGGAAGCACGAGAAGTGACGTGAACCACGTGTCTTTAATTTGATTCATTTTGGTCCCTCTAGACTTTGAACTTATCCGGACCACAAGAATCCACCAATCGAATTAACCAAGCCGAAGGTTAATCACAAACCATGCATCCGCAATGTAACCACCCGCGCTTCGAAAGAGATGGTTGATATCCGTTTACGGGTAGGCCTGTCACATGCGGTTCGCGTTGAGCTGGATGTGCAGCAAACTGAACTCTCCGCGCACCTGTATAAACCGCAGTGCTTAAGACCGGAGGGTGAACAGGGAGGAGCGGTTCTAAGGCCATCAGCATGACCGGCTGGTGGCCCACATTTGTCAAGTCACATAGGAATACTAAGATCCACAGTTCATGCTAAAGGCGGTCTGGTCATCCGCATCACACTGCACATGTTTAGCTACTGTTAAGCTAGTCTCAGCTTGGTCTGTGAGACGACGTTTACAGAAAGTTATCTCTGGTACCGTTGTAGGCTCAAAAGCCCAGAATGTCCAGTATTTTAGGAGGAGAATTTACATACGCCACAAACTAGCTGATACGCGTCTCCGAAAACAAATGAAACAGGGGTTGCTGACGACAACTGAGCACCATCCATAGCACACATATAAAGTACATGGGCAGCCCGTAATGCAATTGAAGAAGGCTGATCTGCCTAACTTACCTCCATGGACTTTGTCAGGACACGGGGGAGGAGTGGAAATCCGTTAATCGATGTAGAGGGACATCATTATGGGAATAGTCGGTGAAATAAGAACACAACCTCGAATGGAATAATAAGATTTATCGAAAAGACATGATGAAGTTGCCCAACTGAAAACGATGGCGAAAGCTATTAATCTGATGACGGCACATATGAGTGCTCCCTAAAAGTCTCTAAGCCGATAAGTCTGGATAGGAATTCTGACGAAGCTATCATCACCGTCTTCTAAGGATAGCGATGGCTCTGAAATATGAAATCTAGTGCCATATTTCAGAATGCTGCCAATTTGAACGGCCGCGGAGTCTCCGTATGATAGTGCAGTGATCCTCATCATCATCATCATCTTAATTCGACTCAAAGAGAGACTGTGCTCAGATGAGGTCGAATATCCTAATCGTCGTGATGGTTCCATTTTAAACAATACCGTGGTTAACTAGCAATAACAACCACCAATCAGACTACGAGCTGCCGGGAAAGTAGAAAATGCTTCAGTACAACGCTTCAGTTGCACTGGTAACTGTCATTTCTGTGGGAAAAAGTAAATCGTTCAGCTGAAACACCCTTTCGGTGCCTAGCCGCAATGCTAGTCGAGGGAAGGACGAGGGATGGGATACTGTCAGGTTGCCGAAGCCTAGACAGGGGAAGTTGAGAGGCGGAGGGGGGGTTCGAACTACGGACCTTCCCGTCAGTAAATTCGCGCTTTAACCACTTGAGCCATCCCGTCCCAAATTTCTTTGGACGGCAGATTTGGGTTGTGCATCGAAATGACCAGTCCCAAAAATACCAACCAGTGGCGCTTCTGCAATACTGCGGACACATGTGTGAGCACACAGATGACATCGTTCCTATCTTCCAAGAGAAGGCGCAGGTGTTTTTATATGAACTGACCAAAGTTATCCCGTCCTTTGGTACGCACTTTGCACCCACAAAATGTGAGGTCATGCTCATGGACACGCAGTCACAACGCACCACTTACCATCCAGGGAGAGGTACTGGAAGTTGTATTAGTTAGCTAAAGTACAGGCTGTTTTGTTGTATGGCTGAGACTTGGCCTATTCGAGCAGCGGAACTGAGACGTCTTCAGGTGTTCGCCAATCGTTGTCTCAGAACCGTAGCTCGTGTGGGTTGGTGTCTGCGAATCCGTAATGAGACTGTTAGAAAGCGCGTTTTCGGTTGTGGAACGGGTACTTCCATTGAAGAAGCTGCGTTGGTTAGGACATGTGTTGAGATGCCGAACAATCGTTTGCCCAAGAGTGCTGTTCTTCATGTCCAACTAAGCGTGGCGTAAACAGAGAGATGGCCAACCCTTGACTTGGCAGAGGGATATGAAGGAGCTTACGAAACGCTTGGATGCTGTCGGTGCAACTCGCCTTCCAGGATAGGTATCGTGTGATTCCCACGGCACCTGGTTGGGGGCATTACAAGATATGGCTGCCATCCGATGTCAGTGGCGTTCTTGTTGTCAGTTTCTATCCAGGATGCCTGATTGAATGTCTGGAGGTGCAGGCACTTTGGAATGATTGTAGTAACCTAGTCTATTCCACGTTCACCTTTATTCTTTTCTTTCAAATAAATCATGGTTGTACGGCAGTGAAGCCTCGGTGTTGAACACTGATGTCATGTTGTCGATGATGATGACCGTGATTCGCTATTTATCATGAAAGCAAGACCAACGAACAGTAACTGAAATCCATTTTGTTTGAAAAGAGTCGATCCTGCCACCGTCCCCAGTGTACTCGCTACCATCGATATGCCAAATGGTAATAGCTAGCACAAACATACATTTGAATGAAACCAAAACGATAACGTAATCAACTCGCTTAAGAGAAGCAATTGAACTTGTGTCCCTCTTTGTCTTCGTGAATTGAGACAGAGAATGACACAAGTTCAATTGGAACAATGTTCAAATACTTGCTCACGCAAGAACAAAACGGAGGCGAAAGTTTGCCGAGGCGTGGTACTCCACACAAGAACCGATCAATAAACACATCAACATTGACCCAGTCTATCAGCCATTACGAGCAAAAGAACTTCACAGTCACGGGACTCTGAGCCAAGAAACCTGGCGACGACCAACGGACTAATTGGATCAAAGGAAGACAATAACTAAAAACAGGCCATTGAATCAACCAAGCAAGGGAACAAAGTCACACCACAAAGCAAGAAGATAACGGCCGAATCACAACAGAACAACCACACACATAACTGTCGAATTGAAGGGGCCCAAAGAAAAAAACCAAGAGATTGAGACCAAGTCAAATTCACAGCAAGCAAACTACCGCTCTCAGAACTAGCAGATACTGTTTAAAAACTACATACTCAGAGGCGGAAGAGGAGGAATTCACCCACTCAACCCTGCACTGATGATGTCACCTCAATTGGTGATGAAACGTTTGCAATCCAACTGCCAAGCTCGGCGAACAGACCAACAACCAAGTGTGACAATGTTGATTTATCTATCACCACATCAAATTTAGTGTGAAGATACAGTCAACTTCGGGCACATTACTCTTCTTAGTGTGTGACAAAGTTGGTGGGAAACCCATAACAAGAGTGTATTAGAAGCCAGCAAATGCTGGTGCATGTTTGAACTATTTGTCTGTCCACCTGAAGTTTGTAGTAATTAGTAATGCCTCATCAATGTTTAACCCTGTAAAAGCCCCCTGTACGGAACAAGTTGATGGGAGAGTGGTTCAAATTGAGGTAAAGAACAAAATTCGAGGCGGTGGATATTCACCCAGTTTGATTAAGCGCCATTTAAGAAGGGTATTAGTACCTGTGGCGAAACTCGACAGGGAATGGATTGGGACTCCTTTTATTCAACATAAAACAGAAACGTCTGAGTGCATTCGAAAGATTCTAAACAAGGCTAACATAAGAGTAGCCTTCCAAGATGAAAACATCATGTACTCTGCAATTCAAACGATTGAACTCGATTTATCATCTGTAAAGTATGTACCAGCTACTAGTTTCGATCACCGAAAAATGGGAGTGTGAGACAGCCTGGACACACCTTGGAGGCGATGGCATATTCAGTTAGTTTGAGAAGTGAGCAGCTACGTATTGAAGGCAGCAGCATTGATGCAAGAGAGTTACTGACGGAGCGATTGGGCCGTTCCTGCCAGTGTCATTAACCGCTGGTGAGTTGAATCCCGGGTCCCCATCCAGGGAGGCGGAAATGGTCGACCCGAATCACAATATACAAGCAAGTCGGGGTCATGCTACTAGGGTAAGTGCTTTAAGAAAAGCAAAAAAGCTCGAAAACTCGAAGGGCTGTATTGTGGCTCCACTAAACTATAGGGGCAGGCTCTGTTTATTCAAGAGAGGTAGCAAACAGAATCACTTGTACTGTGCACGCAATGTGAAAGCTGGTTAAATCAGTGGAGCTCTGGTCACTTATAACAACAAATGGTGCAGTAGCCCCGACAGTCCGGTGACGACTATGAAACAACGGTGTTTCTGGAGACGAAAAAAGTGGAAACAAGACGATTCACCATGCAAACGTCTGTTGCATCCAACAGGAAAAGACAGATTTGATAAGACATGGACACGTGACTGATATGATTTTAGAATATTCGCAGTAATGTTGAAAATATGTGAAAAACTGTTCTCCACAGGAAACAGTCCAGGCAAACCGCAAGATTAGGGAATGTGACCAGGGGTGCGGCGACTCTGCTGAGGAGTTACGGGACTTACTTTGCGATGGAAGTACTCCTCTTCGTGTTTGGCCTCACGTTTCCCGAATGAACCACCAGCATCGCGAATATGTCCGCCACCTCCGCCACCCTTAGAAAAGTAAGGGAGAATAAGGATTGATAGAAGGCACATCAAGTGGGATGATCACCGGTTACCTTCTATTGACTCGCAAAACAAACTGGTAACAAGATGAATAGCTAACTTGTCGAATTCTTCACCAAGCGACATTTTCTGCTGATCGTCATTAGCTTTTGAAGGTGAGTGGTGCACCAAAACCCCCGTCCCCGATTGTCCCCACGATACTCCATATCAATTCACTCGTTCACTTCTATCTAATCGGGCATTACCCAGCAGTAATTTATCGGTGACTTCATCAGTCGTTGTTCACAAATGAGTTTGAAAAAAAAACCGTTCAGCTGTAGCACCCTTCCGGTGCCTAACTGCCATGCCACCCGAAGGTTGCACGAGGGCTGGGATACTGCCAGGTCGCCCAAGCCTAGACAGGGAATGAGTTTGAGTTTGAATGAGTTTGAAATAGCTCAGCGGCCATTGCATCCAAAGGTCCGTGGCTTTCTGGTTGTTCCTGCCTAGGATTGAGTAACTTTGCAGAACCTCAGAAACTTTGTCACTTACATTGCACTGCAGCTATGCACCGAAAGAGTGCCACAGCTGAACGACTCGCCCATAGGTTACGGAACTGTCGGTTCGGAGCGAAACTTCACTGTTCAAGGTAAGATCCGACCTGTTTTTAACTTCTAGCATGATAAATTTTGTCATTATGAAAAAAGTCCAAGTTATGCAACCAATTAAGGAAGAAAAGGTTAACGCAGGTATTTGCAAATTCACAATCCGACGAACCCCACATCGAACTTAGTCTCAGCCACGCCGGTGCACTTCTTATGCGAGTCTGGGGTATCAGAAACCTAGCACAACAATGGTTGAGGTAATGGTCAACACACCGATGTCATGCAGAAAATTGTGCTGTTGCATCTATGCTTGCATAGATTGACCTTCGATCTAGTAAACTGTTTGCTGCCAGAGCCGTATACGTATGAAGCAACTTCGCTGCATGATCATCTGAGATACCCAGAAGCTAGGATTGAAACGACAGGAGTAACAGCACCACATACATTATACAGTCAAGCATACTCAGTAGGGTCACATATGGTGCAGAAAAACTAGTTGATGGTAAACTTGTACCTGCGCAATCAACCAACCAAGCCTGAAATGGATGTTTAATGCTCATCCACAGCGTGAGAAAAGCAAATGCCTGATCTACCGCTGCGATTGAAGCCAGAGAAAACCTAACCACAGATACGAATAGGTCACCCAAACCCAGTCAGGGGCTAGCAAAAAGTCAATGCTGGATCTGAACAATGAAACTCACAGTTAGTTGCTCGCGCTTATCAATGGGCTCCCCTAAGCGTAAGTTTCGTCTGTCCGGATGAAAGGTACATTTCTAAAAAATTACCTAATATACAGTCAACATGAACCGGATTTGCAGCACAGTAATAAACTAGTGCTCTTTGGGTACTATTTGAAAATATCTCTCGAACAAGCAAACCGATAGATTTCATCGCAAATTTCGAGAGGCATCAAGACCTCATAGAAACTTCAATGGAGACTTTAGTCAGGGGATGCGCCATGTGTCAAAAGCTGCGTCGCCTTGGTCATGTGCACGCCGAATCACCATTTACTGAAAAGTTACGTTTTGCATAACTAATTCAGTGATGCAAGCAGAAAAGTGGTCAACCCTTGACCTAGCAGGGGGAAATCAACTACGAAAAGTTTGGATGCTGTCGGTAGACCCCTTCTAGAATAAGGTCTGCTGCGGGACGTAGTCTTTGATAATGTATCTACGAATTCAAGAATTTAATTGGTCAGCTGTAGCGCCCTTTCGGTGCCTTGACACCCGAAGGGAGCACGAGGGCTGAGATACCGCCAGGTTGCCCAAGCCTAGACAGGGGAAGTCGAGAGGCGTAGGTGGGGTTCGAACCACGAACCTTCAAGTCAGTAAATTTGCGCTCCAACCACTTGAGCCATCTCAAGAAATGACAGTGAATGTCACATCTCGGAAGGTACACTAGGTCTGAGTCTGTTGTGATAGACGGAGTCCACTCACGAGCTGCTTTTGTCAATTTGCGGCATAAAAAGGCATGCCACTTGGTCCCAATGGACAAGTGTACCGCAAAACAGTGCGGGCTGTTCTGCTGTATGGCTGCGATATATGGCCACTTCTGTTGAAATGTACGAGACGTACAGGTTTTTGGTCGCCGATCTCTCAGAACTATAGTTGGAACCAGCGAATTCGCAGCAAGGGTGATCAAGAAACGGGTGTTTGGTGAAACAGAAGGCACTTCAGTCAAGGAATCAATCTGGCACTGTCACCCAGTGTCTAGGCGATGAGCTACGCATGCCTAGTTACCGCCTTCCGAGAACAGTGCTGTTTTGCATGCCTAATTTGGAGCGGCAGAAACTCAAGGGTGTAAAAAAAATATGACATTCCAGAAGGGGATGAGGAGGACACCACCGCCTTCCGAGAACAGTGCTGTTTTGCAAGCCTAATTTGGAGCGGCAGAAACTCAGGGGTGTAAAAAAATATGACATCCCAGAAGGGGATGAGGAGGACACTAAAATATTTGGGTGGTGTTTTCCTCCAGAATACAGCGAATTCGCAGCAAGGGTGATCAAGAAACGGGTGTTTGGTGAAACAGAAGGCACTTCAGTCAAGGAATCAATCTGGCACTGTCACCCAGTGTCTAGGCGATGAGCTACGCATGCCTAGTTACCGCCTTCCGAGAACAGTGCTGTTTTGCAAGCCTAATTTGGAGCGGCAGAAACTCAGGGGTGTAAAAAAATATGACATCCCAGAAGGGGATGAGGAGGACACTAAAATATTTGGGTGGTGTTTATCCTCCAGAATAGGGTCCACGTGACCTCCTCTGTGTTGGCCTGAAGAATACGGCGGCTAGCTGGTCTCAGTCAGTTTCTATCCAGATTGTCAGACTGAATGTTGGAGGTACGGGTACATTGGATATTTGTGCTAGGCCCCTCCTCATCCTGTTTTTCTCTTGTTTCCATCACAGCTTTACTCAAATCAATTGACGTGATTGTACGACAGTGAAACATCGGTGTTTTCATCTAGTGTCGCTGTCAGTAGTGACGATAATGACTAACATGGGCCAAACAGCTGTACAGTGCTCCCAGGATTTTCAGAATAAGTTGAATCTGAAGTATAAAACAAAGCGTTCAACATTCCAGCTTATCCAGAGCTTCAATCACACAAGCCCGATGATAGTCGTCATTTGTCAAGAAGCGTTGAACACAAATGCTGAAGTGTGAAAAATTCCACGTGAAGAACTTTGTGGTTTATTCAAAACGGCAAAGATTTTACTGGGAAAATCACTGATACAGAAGGGTTCCGCGATCGGTCTCACCGTGGACAAAATAAAGAGGCGCATGGAGCCGCCAAGCATTCATTTAAAGGTTTAGCTCCGAGAGCACTACAATCGAGTTTCTCGAGAGTTAATCACCTGCGGAACAGAGCAGTAGTTCACCTGGGTTCTGTAAATATTGAACTGAATTGCATGTCTCCTGTTCGATTAGCTCAGGTGGTTAAGGTTTATTACAGCATCCCCCCAATCACTCACGCAGCACTTAGAGGAAATAGTTCTCATAAACCCAAATTTTCACACCGGGCGTACAGCGTGCCTTCTTCATAAGGAACGCTTCGGACGCTGAAGTTTTGCGATTCAAAGACAATCAGTTGACAGTGTCATTGGTATCCTTGTCATCATTACGCTTACCAGATAAAACCAAATACACCGGGCTCAATTTGTAAGAAACAAATCAAAATATGACCAGTGATAAGCCAATATTAGTTGAACGCGCCTCATATCTTTTGGTTTATATTTGTGATGACAGTAGGAATACTTCATGCAGCCGCGTCTTTTTCTGAGAAGACCGAGGGTGTTTACATACGACGAAGTAACCACGAGACTGCGAATAAAAGTACTGTCAAACATTGTTAGATTTGACATGCTCTTGCAAGCGAGGGCTCATGAGGAGGTAACAAAGTGGAGGCTAAGCGCTTAGGAGTTGTTTCATGCAAGTAAATTGCCTTTGTGACCAGAAAATAGTGTTTTGTTAGTGGGCGGAAACCCTTCAAGGTTACAAAACACCTCACGTGCACTCGAATAACGGTCGTTACAAGGGAGTGTTGTATGAGATTGGGTAGGAGGCTTGTCACAGAATTGAATTTATCGCGTCAACGTAAATTCTGGGCATTTTCTCCGCGAGAGACTACCAAAAATGAGATCGAACTGCAGGACGGTGTGGTGAAAAGCAGTCACATAAATATGTGCTGAGATACTGCTGGAACCAAAAGGATACTACTTCTGTTTGCGGTACTCCAGCTAATGAAACGCCGATAAAACCCTAGCAGGGAGAATAATCGTAACTTGTCGAAGAAAAGCTTCTGATTCTGGTAATGACGATGAGACGAAAACACCGTCATTTACGCGTACCTTGTGATTGACATGGATATATCACTACGGCTGCAAAGTTCCGCCACTGATCAATGACTTGACATAATTGGATCGATAATCCGTCCGGGCTGGGTGTGAAGAGGCCCTTGTTAGGACATGCCGCGGAAGCGCCATGCGTACCAACGAAGACGGTGTTGGGTGGAGCAACCTAAGATATCTCAGTATTGGTCCAGTTTCTGATAGCAAGAACTGTTCTTGCCGTTATATCATGGCTCACTTGTTTCCGGTAGGCACCTTCGTTTGAAGCTCTCATTTCAGTTTGGTGAAGAAGTGCCCGAATTAAAAGTTTAGCAGAACCAGAGCGACCATAAGGACGCCATTCTCATGTTAACGAACTAGTATGGATCGTATCGGATGAGGATTGGCAAGAACATTGGATAGAGTAATCCTTGCCTAAGAGGTAAACACAGGTGGCAATAGTCGGTCGATCTTATAGGTGGTATCCATTAGGACAGTATAGTACCCCCACCTACGAGTTCACTTTTGGGAGTAGCATATTTGGAAGTTTTGCTACAATCAGTGTGAAATGCAACAAAGACCTCCGGTCAAAGCTGTTTAAACTGTTATATTACAACTCCACTCCCTGAAAACGTTCTTGTCAAAAAGATTTTGGTGTTCTCTGTGGCTGAGAACGTGGTTTGTCTGCGGCCTCACTGAAGTCAATCCGCGATATTAAGAAAAGCTACGCGTGATCACCCATGCTGTGCTTCAATCCAAGAACATAAATTGGAGAACGACTGAGTGCACAGTGGTACTTGTGCTGAACTCTCGGACACGATAGAGAACAATCAAGATTTGCCACTCTCAGCTAGAAGTCACCTAGTGTCGCGGAAATTGGGGGGTGAACAATGAGAATTCTACATTTCGCTTGAAATTGGATTGAAAACCGTCAAATGCAACAGGGAAAAGATTTCCAGGGCAACAACATCGCAACATGCACAAAAAATGCCAAAGCTGAATTCACGCGTGAGTAACGCAACACCCCCTCCAGCAATTTATTTGTGTCGTTATGCGTCACAGCCTTTGTGAGAGGGATGGCCTTCCGCTTTGGATCGGTACAGAAACGAAGTCTGACTCTTAATTCGAGCCCTGCTGATAAGAGTAAACACAATTATTGTGGTTGCCATCCTCATTTGTCTCAATGTAGGGCCACAACAAACAAGCAAATCAGTTTTCTCGCAGTCGGAATCGTGTTCAGGAAGTCCTTAAGAGCTGTCACAATCGGGACGTAAGGCTTTATTTGGTGGTGCAGTCTGTTCTATCAAAGTTACCGTGTTTAACCTGATAAAGCCAATAGCAATAATAATGTTCCAGCCATGGCACCAGTTCGGTGCATAGCTGCCGTGCAACTTGAAGGAACAGCGACGGACGTAACAATACCAGGTTGCCGACGTTTAGACATGAACAACCAAAAGATTGGGTTCAAATTACAAACCTTTCGGACAGTAGTTTCGCAATTCAAAGAAAAGGCGGTTCTGCACGCTAGAAATCTGACCACTTCCACCTCGCATCCCCGGAAAGTCTGGATGCTGTTGGTACGTCCCCCTTCTAGAATAAGTTCCGCTGCGGGAATTCAAGAAATGACAGTGAATGTCACATCTCGGAAGGTACATTAGGTCTGAGTCTGTTGTGATAGACGAAGTGAATTCATGAGTTTTTTTTGTCAAGTTGCGGCATAAAAAGGTGGTGCATAGCTGCCGTGCAACTTGAAGGAACAGCGACGGACGTAACAATACCAGGTTGCCGACGTTTAGACATGAACAACCAAAAGATTGGGTTCAAATTACAAACCTTTCGGACAGTAGTTTCGCAATTCAAAGAAAAGGCGGTTCTGCACGCTAGAAATCTGACCACTTCCACCTCGCATCCCGGGTTCTAGAATCAACAAGGAGACACCTTCTTGTCCCGCCAAGTAGCTGATTCAAGTAACAAGAGGAAACGCCGCTGCTAACACTTGTACCGCTGCGCCAGGGCGGAAGATCGTTTTATAGGTACATTTTGTACGCCCCAGTCGTGGATATTCAGCATCGTCGATCAGCCGAGATATTTTAAAAACTTCGCTTCACGACACCTGAGTACCAATCAGCCTCCATTATTCTGGTGTGGTGATGTGCTCGGTTATAATTTTTGACAAACCCGATGGACCATATGCTCCTGAAGCTGTGGTGTGAAAGGATGAGATAAAAACCTGTGGTGTCTAGCTGCCACGCCACCTTAAGGAAGCCCAAAGGCTGAGATTCTGTAAGGTTGCCAAAGACTAGGCGAGAGCGGTCGAACCACAGACCCTCCGATCAACAAGTTTGCGCCTTAACTATTGAGCTATCTCGAGCTCAAGCTCAAGCAACTATTGGGACCGAATTTAGGTGTGGTACATTTTCGGTGCATTGTTGACATGCAGCTTGAAGGGACGCATGAGAGCTTAAATACTGTAAAGTCACCTAAAGTTAGATAGAGGCGATTGAAAGACCAAGGGCAGAGTTCGTACCAAGAACCCCTGGTAAACAGAGGAAGTCTCGAACTTTGAACATACCTCGACCATTTAATCAACCCTCTAATATGACGGGATCGAGTATCGGGAAAATGACCTGTTTCGTAAGCGAACTTATCACATGTTGTCGTGTTGCAGTTCTCAGTGTTCATCGGGGTCCCTTGCTCCATTGCTTGCTGGAAGCTGCTGAGTGAGCCCAGCGAATAAATTCAGTGAGCCTTTGAATATCGATAATCCGTCCTCTTAGCCTAAACCAAACAGCAGAGATGCAGCGCCAGTGGTCCTTACTGCGAATTATCAACATTACGCAACTTACGAGTCTGCTGAGAAATCTGAGTTGAAGACCTCCCGGTTAGTAGCTGCAGACTACAATGTTCGGGCACGAAGGGCTGATCAGCAGTGTGAGCAACTCGCACTAGGTGCCACTCATTCTTCAGCCACGGAAGTCACACCACGTGGTCACGTCTTGACCGGCTCCTCGAATGATGGCTGGTCAGATGTGAATCATCCTTCCGAGCTACTCCTTACTACTATGAGTAAACTAGTTGGCTATTGCCCAGAAGTCACTGCCCACCGATTAGCTCACTTTCGCCTAACAACCGCATGTCTTGGTTTTGCTCTGAGGGCTCTCTGCCGTTTCGTCAGGCAACCGCCTAACTAGCACCAGAGGTCTTAAACGATATTACAGGCATAGAGGAAAAAGCCGCCTAGGAGGCATCTCTTGTCGAATTCCAAGCTTTTAGCTTACTAGACGTATCCTATAGAAACCTCCAGGTTTTCTAAAATCATCACTTCGGTGAATGTTATAACTGGTTGAGGGGTTCCTTGACGAGGGGACTACCGCACTTGGCCGTTGGTGTTAGGAGGGGCTAGAATTCACCCCGATTAACGTTTTAGTAAGCTGAACGAATTCATTTGGCTCGAGCTGCTTGTATCAAAATGTGACGGCTGGAAAGCAAACACCGAGCGGCCGAAACGAACCGCTTAGTTATCATGAACATAACCATATCGACACAGCTTCCAGATGTCATATTAAGACTGCAATTGAAACAGAGACTATTGGGTTGGTAACTAGCGCCATACCTTTCAAGCTACCTCACACATTACAGCAACGAATCGAAAAAGTGAAATTCCTGACCATCTTTGCTACTTTATGAAAGAGCGAATGGCATTCCTGAAGTTGGATTGTGTCAAAGAGGAACATGAAAACTGAGGCAGGTAAAGCAATTCCGTGATGTCATCATATAGGGTGTCCAAAACACAGACCACTGCTTTACAAAAACTATTTTTCATTCGAAAAATTGCCGCCACGGTCAAACAGTTCAATGCCAGCGAGTATACAGTTGGATGAAAGCTAGAACTTTAACATTGTTGTCATCGTTAATGGCTGCCCAGTTGTAACACCCTTTCAGAGTCTAGCCGCTATGCCACCCGAAAAAAGCACGAGAGATACTAAGATACTATCAGTTTACTCAGGCCTATACAAGAGCAGACGAAATGCCAAGTTAGGGTTCGAATCACGGACCTCCTGGCCAGTAAGTTCACGCCCTAACCAATGAACCACCTCGAGCTCAGTGAAAGGTCATGGGAAGTAAACTAGTGGTAAACTACTACTAATAGTTAGATAGGATCACCCTGTTGGATACTGAGAAGCAATCCAAGCATCAATAAGCATTCCATAGCAAGCGTCGCACCAATACATCATGCCACAGGAAACATGGTGAACAAAGTCTCCGTAGTTTCGTCCGATCTATTAGGACGTGCAAAGCAACAAAAACGCATTGCCATTAATGTGCAAGCATTGGTTACACCCGTCGTCGGCAAACGAGCTCAAGAATAAAGGATGTCGCGATGAAAATTTACAAAACGAACTATGAACAAGGGCAAATAAAGCAGAAAAGTTGCAAACCTTGCCTGCCCCACGACCGAGTTCATCACCAGGATACATACGTATACATCTGGAAAGTGAAAACGACAATAGTAAAAAAGAAGAAGACAGTAACTGATACTAAAAGAATCAAAGCCAGTAACTGCAACGAAAGAAAGAGGGAAAATCACAGGACTAAAAGGCACCAGTTGAGACGGCGTAGTTGGCTTATTTCTTAGGATTAACGATGTAATGTTTTTCAGGTAGGCCAAACAGATGAGTCACATAACGAGCCGCGGTGAACAGGTAGTCACTCAACCGATTCAAGTAGCGTATGACCTCTGGTTCCACGACTGGATGAGGCACACTTGTGTTCAGAAGCACAACACGACGTTCGGCTCTTCGGCAGACAGCCCGAGCCAAATGAAGGGTAGAGCCAGGCAGCCCACCGGATGGAAGTATAAACTGTCGTAGTGGTGGTAGTTCAGTTGTCATTCGGTCAATCCAGGGTTCCAATTCCCCGGAAACCGCCTGGTCAGGAAAATCAATATGTGCGTACCGTTGAGTCCTTCTCGGATGTGGTGTCGGTAATTCATTTTCCGGTTCGGGTAGCGGTGTAGCTATCGAAGATCCCACAGCCTGGAGGCGACACTGGATGCGTTCCAATTCGTCACACAAAGTAGAAATCTTGATATTCGGATCGGCATTTGCCGTGTGCTGGTGGATATGAGCCAGAGCGACAGCAATCGTGCAGGACAGCTCGTCTACTGTCCCCAAAGCTTGAAACACTCGATCTGTTTTGGGTCGTCTCTCTCCAGTGAACAAGTTGGAGAACCCCTTGTCTCCAGTGCGAGTATATATCTTCATGGTACGTTTTGAATAGTGGTTGAGTGCGTCTATCTGACGAGAAACACATTTAGTTGGTCGCATTTGCACAGCTAAGCAATTACGTCGAACTGGATGAATTCTACGAAACCGAAAGAAAATGGCTAGACTGAGTTCCGGAATGAGAATATCGCATGGATTACATATTGTCAGCGAACTTAACAAATAATTAGACAGAATAGAATAAAATCAGGGAGGAATTACCGCGCCTTTTTCAAAGGGAATCTCTGATACAAAGCAGCTTGTCTCGATGAGCCCACATATTTAATTTCATTCACAATCGGCAATGGACCTCATGTTCTGACAACAAGGATTGCGACAGGTGACTTGCAGTGGTCGGCATGCGCACCACCATGATCTTCTAAACCAACTCTAGATACACCAAGCTGAAGATCAGCGGCATCTGGCAACAGAACGTTTGAGGAAACCATAGTACTCTGTCATCTACACCACTGGTTTCCTAAGTTACGGCTGGTTGTACCTTAATTAATTCTGCTTACCAATGCTACAAAATGTAGCTGGCAACTAAGCTGTCACCATTCACAGCGTCCATATGGAATGCGTGTTCTTTTCCGCTCTGCACTCTCAGGCGGTTAGCTGCCAGCGCCAGAGCTACCCGTGTTATCACAGAAAGCGAAGAAAATCGATTAAGAAACTGACTCTCAGAAGCAAGGACGAAAAATCGACGGCTTATCTAAAATACTGTATTGTTATTCGATTATTTATCGTTTGGCAACGTCACACCAGTGCCTCAGATTCTGCTTAACAATCAGTGGACACGTTCTGCGGATTTGAGTTCCGTCCAAGGACTCTTTTGGTTCACACTGTGTATGCTTAGGCTCATATTCAAGACATCGTGTTTGCAGCCGATGAGTAACCGGCTCGAATTTGGTTTACAGAAGCTGTTGGATCACAAGTGCAATCCAGATTCAGAAACTACGAGTTAAACAAGTATCTTTCTCCTGATGTTGTTTCCAAAAGTGCACCTTGGAGGCTAGTAGTGGTGACTAATCAAGACTCTGTTCATATTTGGTCCACCGACTACCATACAATGCGTTTGCGAAGAGATGCAAAATCTATGTAATTGGAGCAGAACACAACACCAAGTTCCTCAACCAGCAAGCCAGTACGGGCGCTTCGATAAGGATGGATAAACTTAAACTTAGCCACTCTGCAGTTTGCTGCCACAAAACAAGAACGCATTAGCGTACTGGCAATCGGAACACAATACTATAAATTCACAAGCCAGAATGAATGAACGAATGAAGGGATATCAGGCAAATATGATGTATAATATATATAATACAGGCAAATGAAAAATAATATTCATCCCTCTGGGATTCTGTATCCTTGTGAGAGGAACTTTCCAGTTCCATTAGATTGTCATCATCATCATCAAAGACAGCAACATCAGTGTTGGCACTGATGCTTCACTCCATTAGATTGTACTCAAGGTTGACTTCGGCAGGGGGTCTGATTACGAAAAGTTCGAAGACAATCTTATGGAGAATTCAAAACTATCCCCTAATACGGGCCTACTAATGTGTTACACTGTGACAGTGGCAACTGCCATTTGTCGATTATGTGGAGGTTCGAAGCGAATTACTTGTGAATTGACGACGACAGCTCCGATGAAATAACGCCACTGGGTAGGCGACCTGACCATCCATAAACAAGGAAAATGCCAACGAGACTGAGCTTGATGGTTGTGTAGTCATCTACCTTTGGAAATGACGAAAATGGTCCCTGTCAGGAGGTGGTCTCTCAGAAACTGGGAGATTATTCAGTTGACCAGTGGGCCATCAACAGGTAGTGTTGTTTATAGCAGTTGCTAAATGAATATATGGGTTCCTTCTAGCAAGCTCACAAATGCGTCCACCAACTTGCAAAGACGAAGTTATCCCAGAGAGACTGCCGAAAACCGTTACTTACTACTTGATCAATTACTTTAGTTTGGTCATCGGCACGTTAATAAGCGACGACAAATAGCGTCAATGATGAAAATCTAGCAACTCAGTCAAAAATAAAAAATAAATCACTGTCCAATCAACAGAGCGGTATTCACTTCCGTTTCCGTTTTTGAGACGTGATTTCATTAGGTTCCAACAGATTTGTTTGCTTGTATTTGGGAGAGTCCCTTTTCTGGTTCGCGAACAAGTTGAGAGGGCCCCAGCTGAATCGTCTTTTTTGTCCGTTTAAATGAACCTCAGACCATTTCCCGTAAAACCAAAATCTGTTTTCTACCCCGTTTTCGGATGAATGCAGTCCTCAGCAATACTTCTCATCGGAACTGTGCTGCGGGGTCTCCAAGTGCTCAGGCCGATAGGGATGACCACTATACTATGCAATGGTAAGGTGGTTGACTTGTCTTAAAAAGCACGAATGGACTGTCTTGGGTTTATGTCTACGAAGGGATGACGTTTATAGGGGTGATTTGAAAGTGAGGTGGCCACACACACACTGTAAATGTTGGTATAAATGAAGATGCGTAAACCGATCTCCAGCCTCTATCTTCCCTCGGCCAGTGGCTATCTACCTGTTACAGTTCATAAGCAGGCTCAACATCCATTTAGTTGACGCCGTTCAGCTTCCTAACTTGGTATTCTGAATGTGGTAGTTTACGTGTACTGACAATGCAACCTATCCTGTGAAAGCGCGGCACCAAATGGGACAGAACTCCGTGGAAAAAAACGGTAGAATGAAATCGGTTAGAGGATCTATGAAATACCGAAAAATCGCATCAATATGGGGCAAATGGACGTCATAAGAATAAATCGGTAAGGTGGGACTCGGTAGAGGCTTGGAGAGAAAGTCTACTCGAGTCCTGAAACATGACTGCAATTTTGGGAAAACGGTGGAGAACTCCATAGACAGACAGTCCTGGAGGAAATAGAAAAGGATACACTCATTTCGTATTACTCAAGATAAAATTGAATCCGTCGTTTGTGATGTCTTCATCTGTTTGTGCTGCCTCATGCTGGTGTGGTAGTCGAGGTATCGGAGTGTTTTCTTGAAATAGCGTACTACTCGAGTATTGTGAAGTGACCATTGTGCAGCACAATCAACTGAAGGATATCAAAAACGAGATTCAGTTGAGCCTAATAACACCAAAACTATCTCCAAAATGGGTGTTTCGCAGAGCATAAGGTTGACGGAAACTCGGAACCCAGGCCTACCTAAGGAAATCCAGGAAGAGCGAAACCGTCCTGTAGAGCAAAGGCGAGTTGGATGACCAAACGATTGTGAGGGGAAGTAGAGCACTTACTGGAGCAGTGGTGAATAAGGGGTGGGAGAGGCTACGTCTGGACATTCTCGACAAAAGGGAAGTCAGAAGGACGCACGCCGAATTAGAGACACGAAAGATATGCGGAAGAGCCAGAATCCTGAATATGATGTAAATGTTGCATTGTGGGATGGGCCTGTGACTTGTAGAAAGGACATTACGAGGGGAGAATATTCACAGAAGCGGAAGAAAGGTTTTCTTGAGGCTAAAGTCCCAGGCGGTTTCGGATATGCCAACCAGTTGAGATCGTACGAAAAAGATAGACTCAGAAGCTAGTAAGTGGATAAGTAGGGGGTACAGCTGGAGTAAGTAAACAGTATGGCAGTTGAGTGCCACTGTTAGTAATGTTGTATTGTCGTTAACGGTAATGATGTCGGTAAAATGCTAGCAGAGAAACGTGTGGGTTTGGTGGGAGTAAATACATCTTCGTTAAACGAGCTCCCTAAAGCGAGATGGCTGCTAGAGCACGAATTTACTGACCATAAGGCCATGGTTCGAACCCGACCTCTCGACTTCCCCTGTCTAGGCTTGGGCAACCTGGCGGCGACCCAGCCCTCGTGCTTCCTTCTGGTGTTACTGTCGATGGTAGTACGAGAATCGTGTACAACAAGCTGGGAAGGACGGAAGAGTTGGGGGCGCTTGTGTTCCAACAACCTAATGTTTCGACCAACGGCATTAAGGTAAAGACGATCAACTCAATTTGGAATCAGGTTTAGAAAAATGGGGTGGAAATTAGTGTTAACCCACTAAAGGCACTTGTATGGTTATCGACGAAACTAGAAACGGTGATTTCGAAGTTACGAGGTTGAAGCTCGGCAGTCCAGGCTCCAAGCTCAAATATGATATTCGATGCTTAGAAAGGCCGTTCGACACGACAGTAACCGATGGATCTGCGTGCGCATCTACTAACCTACTGCACTTCCGAAACCCGTTCCGTTAACAGGGGAAAACTTCCCCTGCAACATGGTGGTAGACTTTCGCTAGTTTTTACCTTTCCTTTCCACCCTGAGAAACGTATAACTTTTGTCAAGTGCCACACGTCCAAGTGTGCTGTCAGGACATAAAGGATTCAGGTGATCGCATGTGGTCTGCTCTTTGCTTTCTCCTCTCACGAAAAGCTCCAATCTCTTAAACGACCACATTTCTGTTTATATCTCGGACGTCGCTAGACTAGGAACGTGTTGGTCTGAGCTTTTGAGCTCGATTCATCATCATCACCACCACCAAAGACAGCAACATCAGCGTTGGCACCGATGCTTCACTGCCGCACAAGCTTGAAATAAGGCAGCGGTAAGGGCGCGAGCTTACTGACTTTCAGGTTCGTGATTCAAACCTAACCCCGGAATCTCCGCCGCTCCGGTCTAAGGTCCGACAACCTGAAGGCATCTCAGTCCTCGTGCTTCATTCGGGTGACATGGCAGCCACGCAAGGGTACTACAGTTGATCGACTATTATTATTACTTGTTTCTCTTCTGGAGCACTCCCAATAGTCTCTCTGAGCTCAAAGGTTTTATGTTCTCGCTCCCGAACATGTGATAACGCATACACTAACACAGTGGTTGTCACCACTGACCAGAGGCGCAACACCACTGTTGACAAATACCTCATCCTCGATAACCCTTTAGGTGCCTAGCTTTCATACCTACGAAAGGAGGCGCGACCTGGCTGGGACACTGCCAAGTTGCCCAAGCCTAGACAGGAGCAGTCGAGATGCTGAAGTTGGGTTCGAACCACGGATATTGCAGTCCGTAAGCTAGCGGCAGTGAAGCATCAGTGGCAACACTGATGTTGCTGTCCTTGATGATGATGATGATGCCTTAATCACTCAGCTATCTCCAGCCCTAATTATACTCCAAATATTATTGAAATTGTTTAAGGGGGAAACCCGAAGTTAATTCCCCTCAAAGAGTTTGAGGCGCCTAAAACACCAAACACCTAATCAGGTAATCTGAGAACTGACAGTACGAACACCGGTGACATCGTTTAGCCACTACTTCTTACGACGATCCTAGCAAACCGCAGGGTGATTGGAACGTCAGTCCTGACGGTCGACAGCACCAACACACAAACCCCTTCTAGACCCCCACATGCTTCTGATAATTTGCATGTTTAAATCGCAATTTGTGCCATTCTGAATGAAGCACGGTAAACGATGATTTAGCATGTGAAACACATCAAACCAGCATAATCAGTGGCACTGGATGTTCACCTGGACCGAAGAAACTGCCGCACAATATCCGGTTTCTAAAATATCTTGCTGCCGACTCGTCGGTATCATCTGATAACAATACGTTCAAGAACGTGAAGATATCTGAGATGGTTACCTTCTTCTGATCAGACTTAGACATCTTTCCATGCTTGGCCCCGTCCTTTGGAGCTGACTGTCTGGCAGTCACCTCTAGGACACCCCAAGTGAATGCTGTTTCCAGTTACGATCCCTATCTACTTGACGTATATTACACCCATCGCCTGACCAAAGTGTGCATTCCCGTGCAACAAAGTCAACCCCCGTCTAAAACTTCCTCCAAGGAAAACATGGACCCACAGATCATCTGTTTTCAACTCAGCCATCTTCACACATTGGAAATACCCTTGGAGTTTCATTGTGCACATGCATTCATTGATCTCCCAACAACAAGACAGGAAACACGAATTCAAGGGCATAAACTCATGTACCAACTTTTGACTATGCCAGTGGGTGCCATAAAGAGTAAGCTCTACGGGAAGAACCTACCCCGCTTACTGAGAACCGCTTCGTCATGTCCAGTTCCGTAAACCCAGCCTCCATAACGGATGGGTGGTTGTTTGTCTAACATAACGGCTGTCCCGAAGCTAGGATGATTTCCGTGTGTAACGAAAAAAAACAGCGTAAGGTAGCTGGTAGCGGACTCTCGCATCGTGCCTTGGACAGGTCCCAGGCAGCGTACGGGCCTAGCCGATCCAATTCTTAGTGCGATAATGCAGATATTGTCTGAATAACAGGTGAAGTCTTCGGGGGTGGTGTGTGTGGCCATTCCCACCCTTGTCATTAAGTTTGCCTACGTGGTTGGTCGAAATATTTCAGACGGTATAGGTAGAAAACCGGTGTCTGTGTATCGGGTACATGATGGTGAATCATTTACCCATAGACAGGCGATCTGCTGTAGTATCCGATGTAAGATGACCCGACGAGGGTCTAACGAATCATATTTTTGGCTTTCGATAAGCTCTAAAAGCCGCTACAACGCATTTGATTTGCGGTCAAAATGTCTAGCTGAACAACATATCTAGGTCATTTGCGAATGAGACCAGTCATGCTATTCCCTCTGCCTATCGACTTTCCCTGTCTGGGCTTGGACAACCTGGCAGTGTCCCAGCCCTCGTGTTTGCTTCGGGTGGCATGGCAGCTCGGCACCGAAAGGGCGCTACAGCTGAACGATAATCCATTAGTTACTACATAGAAAATCAGTCAATGATTCCGGTTTTCGCTTTAGAGCAAGATGGATACTTACCCCATTGCTACCGGTTTCAAAATATTAGTTGGGTCATTTGTTAATGACCGAATTTCGTTGGGCAAGACAAATCTGAAAAACCGCTGCATCTTGAGGTAGCCAAAAACGTTCGCAGGCAGCAAAGGACGTTAGCGAGGAGGCTGGTCCACCGTGGAACACTGCGCCCGGATTGGTTAAAACGCCACTTCATACCTAGACACTCACGCCGCAGACTATTGGCACATCCAAATTGAGTTCGTCGAAACTATAGGGTTTTTGAAGTCGCTATTTTAATGGGGAGTTATTCTAACCGATTTGCACCTTCCCGTGACTTGTTGCACGTAGCATTTTGTTTAAGTGAGCGAAATGTCAAGGGCATTGACCATCGTTGATTTGCATTTTTTGCCGGTTTACACGACATAAAACACGCAATCGCACTTTAGCATGTTTAGGCGTTCCTCCGTGTTCCTGAAGAATAAAATAACACCTTAAGAGTATTTAATGCAAACGCCACCCTATAGGATCAGTCGCAGGAGTTTGTTTTCTTTAGACACCTCAGATTTAACAAATGGGATAATTTTGTTCGGTGAACCTGCTCACAAAACATTTTCCCCATGGATCTCATGTTCCATGAAGTGCAATAAAGTTAAATAACAGCACAAACTTGCAGTGGCAGTGGGAGAGACACCTGTGGGTGATCCTCTTTCCCAGATATGCATAGCTAGCTTGTAGATAA